TGCTGGGTGCTCTCTGGATCGGGCCTGCCTGGCTGTGCCCCACAGAGGAGGTCCGCCCACAGAGACTGTCACCTTGGGACAGCCCTGCGCCCGGTCCAGAGTGGGGCAGGCCTGGGGCAGCACTGGGCCTCACAGGGCGTCCTGGTTCACAGTGGAGCTGCTCCCCGCAGGGAGACCCGCAGGCGCTGGTGGGAAGCCACCCTCCCCCGTGGGCCTGCCTTGTGGCCCGCCTCCCTGCCAAGAGGAGGTGACCGCCATTCTCCTCCTCTTCCTTCTGGAGCATTTGCCTCCTCCTGGAGTTCTCTGCAAGGGGCAGCACAGGGCAGCACRGGGCAGCACGAGGCAGCACGGGGCAGCGGGCCTCGGACCCCAGGCCGTGGGGCCTACTTTGGCCCGGCGCTGCCTGGTGGCCTGGGCCTCGGTGGAGCTGGAGCCCACCACCTCCTTTGGCCCAGCAGGAGCCAGAGGAAGGGCCCTCGATGAAGGGTGCCCCTGTGGTCGTAGGGCAGACTGCCCATCGGCAGGTGGCCAGAGGTTGGCGTCCCCCGCGGGCCCTCGTGTCAGAGTTGCGCAAAGTGCGTCGCCCCCTTAAGCAGCCCGGCCCGGTGCTGAGGAGGTTTCCGCCTAACCTGGCAGCGGACCTGCCTTCCGCAGGCCTTCACAGCAGCCCTGGGCTCTGGGTGGGCGGGCGGGGCCTTCACGCTCCTGGCGCAGGCCTCCTGTCTGTCCCCTCGCAGCCCCTTCCCTTTGCTGGTGCAGGGGAGCTCGGCCCCCCGGCCCAACACAGCAGCTCGCCCGCCAAGACGCACGACTCAGGCCTCACGTAGGGCTTCTGCTGGCCGAGCCTCCACCACCACCGTCCCTTCTGGACGTTTTCATCTCTTTGCCCAGGRAGAAGATGCGTGGCTTTGGGGTCTGCTTCTTGCTGAGCCCCGTGTCCCGCAGGCCCCTCTGTGTCCATGCCCGGAGCTGCCGTGCTCTGTGAGGCCGAGCGGCACCTTGTGTGGCTGGCCACGGTGCTGGCTCCCTGGCCGCTGTGGGTTGCACTGTGGTGGACACGTGGCGTGTTCTCACTGCCCTTGGGCACTCGTCAGCTAAGTTCTGCCCCAGCTCCACCCCTCCTGTGGTGTGAGGGCCTGGCTTCCCTCTTCCTCACCAGCACCTGTCTCCTCCTGACCCTGGCACCTGGAGGGTGCAGAGCACCTCCTGTGGTCCCGACTTGCATGTCCCGCTGCCAGGGATGCGGAGCACCTGCACGTGCCGGCCCCTTGGGTCTGTGCTGGTGAGTGCTGCTCAGGACCCCGGCCTGGCTTTTGATCAGCCTTCCTGGGGCTCGACCCTCGGGTTGGTGTGGTGCGCTGTCACGGAGCACGCTGCTGTCCTGGACGGTGTGTGGTCTTCCCAGGGACTCTCCGAGGCCCTCTGCCCTGGCCTGGGGTTGGTAAACTGGAGGGCGGGGCCCAGGGATAGACTCCAGCCAAGGTATTTGTCTCAAAACTAGGGAGCCATCCATCCCACACGCGGCAGGCACGGCCACTCCCATGAGCWGCACCCCAGTCCTTTGAAATTTCATTTTGAGACTTGAGTCTTGCTAAGTTGCTCAGGCTGACCTGGAGCTTGGCCTCCTGTTTGAGCCTCCTGACGTGCGCCAGCCTCGCTCACTGGTTATTGTGTGTGCACACACTTGGCTTGTAATTTCTTCTTTCACACAACAGGGCGAGTGCTGTGGATTGTGGACATTGTGAAGCATTTAGATCTTCTTCTTTATGCTTCAGCTACAGGAAAAAGCCACTTGAAAGGGCACACACAGGGCTGGGGTGTGGCTCAGCGGTAGCGCGCTCGCCTGGCATGCGTGCGGCCGGGTTCGATCCTCAGCACCACATACCGACAAAGACGTTGTGTCCGCCGAGAACTAAAAAATAAATATTAAAAAAATTAAAAAAAAAAAAAAAAAGAAAGGGCACACACAGGCAGGGAGAGGTACGTGCGGAGACTGCCGGCACCCTGGCCTCCCTTCTGTGGCGAGCCTGTCCCGGAGCGAGAGTTTCCAGGTGAGAGCATGTGTTCGCCAGCCTTGTGGCGCAGTGGCCAGGACACCTGGCCAGAACAGCTGAGAGGAGGAAGAGCATGTTTTGGTGCCGGTGGCAGAGGGACAGTCCACAGGAGGCAGAGCGCCATGGTGGAGGGTGTGCAGAGGAAAGCGGCTCAGCCTATGGCAGCCAGGGAGGAGAGCCAGGAGCCAGGGACAAGGCATGTGGTCCTGCCCGTCATGGAGGACAGGCCTGTCATCCCAGCAGCTCAGGAGGCTGAGGCAGGAGGACCACATGTTCAAAGCYAGCCTCAGCAACTTAGTGAGGTCCTAAGCAACTTAGCAAGACCCTGACTTGGAATAAATAAAAAGGGGTGCGGCTCAGTGGTTAAGCACCCTTGAATTCAGTCCCTGGTACCACCAACAACAACAGTGTGATGTCAGTGGCCGGCTTCCTCCAGCCATCCCACTGGCCTGCAGTTACTACCCTGTGAGTCCATTGTATGGGGAGTCCGCTGGAGAGGTCACAGCTCTCAGGCCTGGGATCTGGTCTCCTGGGTCACCAAGGCAGTGTCTGGGTCCCTCATGTCACACCAGAGCAGTGCTCCTGACAGCGTGGTGTCAGCGGCGTGGGCTGTGTGCACCCTCAGGGGTTCGCCCCTGGACCCGTGTGGCATGGGGCTCCCCGTTTCCCAGAGCACGAACCTGGCACCTCTCTAGACCCTGGCAGCTGCTGTCCAGRTTCTTCCATTCTGGCCCTGGGCACACTGCTCTGGACATGCTGGCCTGGGGCAGGAGGCAAGCATGTGGCAGGCCTGGACGCTGGGTGACTTGCCCGAAGGCCTGGAGGGGGAGGCAGCCCCTCCTGCAGGAGCCCCAGGGGCTGGAGACCCCTCTACTGTGGCCACCTGGGGCCAGAAGAGGCAGCCCAAAGGAAAGGGGGAGGGGACGGGAGCTGGTGGGTGCCACTGGGTCCTGGCACATCCCACAAGGGTGGGAGACTCGGGATGGCAGCAGAACCTGGCTGGGCACCCAGCTCCATGGCCTGCCCACCTCGGTGGCCCCTGTGGTCACCTGTGGGAGAGGGCGCTGCCTTGCAGTCCTGCAGCACCGCAGGGGACACCCCGGGCAGGCTGAGACCTAGGAGCCTGGATGTGCCGGCCACAGCCACTGCCCATGCACCCGAGTCTCGGGACAGGTGAGACCAGGGCTTTTCACACTGGGCCTGCCCCTCACCTCCCTGCCTGTCGCGCTGCCTGCCGGGCAGGCGGCCTGCCGCGCCCTCTTGTCGGTGCTCCCTGGCCATTCAGCCATCACTGTGCTGGTCAAGGTTTCTGCTACCCTCAGCGGCTGGCTTCCCGAGGACAAGCCCAGAAGTCCCCGTGGCATATGGGCGTCTGGGTGGACGGGCAGGAAGGACCAGGGGGTCCAGGAGGCTGTGGGGCTAGTGGAGCCGCAGGGGAGGATTCAGGTACAGGGCCCTGGGGTAGGTCAGCCTGGCTGGCAGAGTGTGGTGGCCTGGGCCCCTCGGACYCCAGGGCTGGGTCAGAGCTCCAGCAGGGCGGCCTTCTGGGTGGGCAGCCTCTGTGGCCTGCGACACTGGCACCTGTTCTCTGGCGGGGTTGGTTGTGATGGTCCCTTTCCTTCCTGAGCACTTGGGCAGTACTGCCCACTGTGTGGCCACCAGCCACGTCTGCAGTGCTGTGGCCTCCTGGCTGGCTCAGCAGGAGCTGAGGACTCTGCAGAGTGCAGGGCTGTGGGACGGGGCTCTGGGCAGGGCTCATCCCCTCAGGGCCTCACCAGTGCAGYGGGGTGGGGTGGGGTGGGGGTGTCCCTCAGAGCTGGTCCCAGCCCCCTGCACCCCAGATGGCAGTGCGGTGGTTGAGGAGGACACATGGTGGACAGGGCAGGTGGCGAGGAGGCCAGTGGCCACTTGGCCCTACTTCCGTCCGATGGAGGTGGGAGCTGACTGGGCTTCCGGTCCGGCCCTGCGCAGGGTTCCTGGGTGCCTGCTGCCCTCTAGTGCCCACTACAGGGAGTGCGTCTGGGGAGCTGGTGGGCTCATCTTGGTGACCCGGAGCCCTTTCTAGGAGAGAATTCTCTTGCCCTTTTGTCACTTCCTGGGTCACTCTGGGGCTCTCGGAATAGGCAGGTGAACTTTTGAAACTTCTCCTTAGCTCTCGGTGTGCGCACTTGGCTTCCTGCCTCTTCTAACTCTAGGYGGACACCGGTTTCTCCTTGTTTTGGAGAATTTAATCTGCAAGGAAGACCCTTGCCCGAGGCCGACTGAAACCTGTTCCTGGTGGTGGGCTGCCAGTCCCCCTTGGTCCCCTTGGCTCCCGCGGCAGGTGGGAGCTGCCTAGCCTGTGGCCTCCTTGGTGAGAGGGCAGCCCAGTGCCCAAGAGTTGCAGCGCCAGCGGCCAGTGGTGTGGTGAGCACCTCTGCTCTCCCGGACCAGGACTCCTGCTTGGGTCCTGGCTCTGCTGACGGCAGCCAGCCAGGCCAGTACCAGCGTGCCCAGCAGAGTCCTGGCAGTGGGCTGCCCCGAGCTGCCGGGCTCCCTGATGGCAGTGTGTGGGAGGACGCCCTCACACTCCGTTCTTACCTCTGGAAGCCGCAGCCCTGCTGTCCCTCGCACACGTCTGGCTGAGGAGCGGATGTCTCGATTTGAAGCTGACCTAGAGAACATGCCAAGGGGCTGATCCGGGCAGCTTTCTTTCCTAGGGTTCTGCTTAAAACGAGTGCTGGCCCCCAGGCTCGCCTGTCCGTTAAACAGGGCGCACTGTTTCTACCAGCTGCCGTCATGGTGGCTCTCGTGCTCAGCCCGCACCGTGAGCCGGCCCTAGCCCTCTTGCACCCCAGCTCCGTGCAAGGGCCCCGCTGCCCTGCCCKTGGTGGCCCTGGTGTTTTCAGTGATGGAAGGAGGGGGGGGGGCGGCGGCGCTGACTTGCTCACCTCTGCTTCCCCACAGGTGCTGCCACCATGGGCTCTGAGGACCACGGGGCCCAGAACCCCAGCTGCAAAATCATGACGTTCCGCCCTACCATGGAGGAGTTTAAGGACTTCAACAAATACGTGGCCTACATAGAATCGCAGGGAGCCCACCGGGCAGGCCTGGCCAAGGTGGGTGATGACCTGACCCTGGCGCAGCCGCCGTCAGCCCRCACTGCCCTGCTGTCCTTCCCGCACCCGGCTTGTCCTGGGCCCTCCCCAGCGGCCATCAGCCAGCTCGTGGTGCTCTCAGGGCCCGCGGGCGCCGGCAGGCGGTGAGATGGGCCCGCTGCCGGGGTCCCGGAGCCTTCTGGGCCCGGTGCTAGGAGGCCTCACTTTTTTCCTCCCTATTCCTGGTTGAACAATTTGCTTTTTGAGACAAGGTCTCGCTGTGCTGCATAGGCTGGTCTGGAACCAGCGAGTGCCGCTGTCCTCCTGGCCTGGGCGTCTGGACGCCTGGCCTGCAGGGCGGCACTGTGCCCAGCTGGAGCAGCTTCCTGTCTGGGCCCGTGGTGCGCGGGCGAGAGCGGGGGTGCAGGTGGCTGAGCCCCGCCCATAGCCCCTCCCTGGAGACGGCACTGGTGGGGTTTCTCGAGTCTTTCCCTGCACCCCGTGGGTGGGGGCACTAGGTCAAGGCTGGGGGACAGGACGTGAAGAGGATGAAAAGGGAAGGAACGGGGGAGGTGGCAGCAGGGACCCGCGGCCTGGTGCTGTGAGTGCTGGCTGGCTCAGCCAGCCGCGTGGGTTGTGCTCCTCGCTGCTGCGTGGCCGAGGCTTCCCCTGGCAGGCGGTTCTCTGCCACTTCCCTCTGCCACTCAGCCCAGGCGCGCGGTCTCTGCACAGCGCCAGACAGTGAGGGCGTCAGCCCAGGAGCCAGGACGGCGTGCAACTGCGGCAAGATACGTGCCAGTAGAACTGTCCCCGTGGACGCCGGAACGTGAACCTTAGGTCCTTCTCATTTGCCAGACACCGTCTTGTTTTTTCTTCYAACCATCTTGGAGAAAAGACTCTTATCTCAAAAGCTGGAGGAGCGGCAGTGGGTGGCTCTGACCAGGCCTCAGTCGCTAGCCCAGAGGCTATGTCTGTCCCCTGCAGCGAGTGGGGTAGCCCGCTCCTGCCTGCCTGGTTCTTCCTGGTGCTCTTGCTGGCTTTCGCGTCCCTCCTGCGGGTCCTCACATGACACTCCCACCCTTGCAGCCTTGGGGGCGGTGGATCCGTGTGCTGGCCGTGACCCCATGCCTCTGCCCTTGGCTTGTGTTCGTCACATACCCTGGTGAGGCACGGTGGCAGTTCTGCCACCTCTGGCTCCAGCCCCTGCCCGCCATGTGGCTCTGGCCTCCCGCCTCCTCCACGAGCCTCCCCAGCCGCTGTGTGGCCAGGGACTGCCATCTCAGGAAGGCTCCCGAGCCCGTGGGCGCTCTGCTGGCCGACCCCAGGGAGGGTGGTCTGGTTCCCGTCCTGGGGCCTGCCTTCCCCTCGTGCCCGTGGCAGCTGGGCAGGTGGCTGTGACCTTTCCTCCCGGCCCCACCAGCCTTGGCTCCTGGGGCTGGCCCACTCCTGTCTTGCTAGGGCACAGCAGCCCTTCCTGATCTGGGACCCAGGCCACCCTTTCTGTCAGCACAGTGGCGGTTTAGCCTCTGGCTGTCCTGGTCTCTCCTCTGAGAGTCCTTTAAATGTCACCTGGCACTTCCTGTCCTTCATTTCACCCCAGCCTGTTTCCAGTGCTCTGTCCCAGGCTGCATCTGTTCTGCCCCCTTCCACCTCCCCTCTTCCTTCCCTCTTCACCCCCGTCATGTCCTGTCCCCGGAGCCTTGACCCCTCTGCCTTAAACTTGCCGYTCCAGTGGGCCGGCGTCCACGGCGGGCTTAGCTGAGGGCAGCCATCAGGTGGGCGCCCCTCCCTGCGCCCTGGCTCTGCAGCCCTTCTCCCTCTACGAGGGCTCCAAGCCCTGCCTTCTCTGACCGCGGCTCGCTCCTGCTTGTGGAGGGCAGGCCCCGGGCCCTGGCGCACGTGCACGGTGCCTGGAGAGCGGGGCGGGGAGGCGGATGCGGCACGCATGCTCGGCTCTTGGCAGCTGCAGTCACATTGGTACCCACGTGTGGCACACCACACACACGTGTCCCTCCTCCCGCCACTCTGTGGGGACAGATGGGCTCAGGGAAGCATCTGCTCTGGCCACGGGCACCTCCGCTTCTTCCAGATGGGGCCCTGGGCTCTTAGGACTGCCAGCCTCTTGGGAGAAGGATCACAGTGTGCTGCTGGCTCTGTTAGAGCCATGGGGACGTGTGTCCCCCTCACCTGGGTCTCTTTGGCCTTGACCACCCTTTGTGTGTGAGTGCTGGGGTTCCTGCTTTCACTAGAACTGCACGGGTTACCCTACTCCCCAAGATCTGCGGGGCCTGGGAGCAGGGAGCAGGTTTCCTAGGTCCAGACTAAGCCAGGGCTAGGGACGCGGAGCGGGAGCCCCCCAGGGCATGGAGCCTGGCACTTCCTTGACCTCAGATAACTAAGTACACGCAGGGCCTGATCAGGCTTTCCAGAGCCCAGGCGGCTCCCTCAGCCCTCCTGGGAAGCGCTGGGCAGGAAGCGCCCCAGGAGCCTGGCTTGTGGCTCCACTCTGGGCCGAGGTTGGCGAGAGGTGGGCACCAGCCGGGTCTTTCTGAGACTCCTCCTCAGCCCTTTTGTGTCAACTGAGGCCTCGATGCCGGGCACCTGGGAATGGTGTCTGGTGCAGGTTGTGTACCACCTGGTGGGCTGCTGCTGCTGCTGCCTCCTCAGGRTGGTGTGGGCTGCAGTGCCTGGACCACCCACGTCCACCTCCCTGCGTGTGGACATGTGGCTGCCCAGTCCTGGCCTCAGCTAAGCCACACAGAAGGGCCAGTGCAGGSCCGCGCCACCTGGAAGGTGCCGAGGGGGGCCCTAGGAGGCATGTTCTCCAGGGCGCTTTCTTAACCCTTTCTTCACCTGGGACCTCCAGGGGTCCTGTCTTGGCAGGACTCGGAGGGTGTCGCACGGGGTGTGGCTTCCACCCACAGCCATGGCTTTGCGAGGAGTCTTGCTCCTGCAGCTCAGCACCTGCTCGGGGTGTGTCGGGCGCGGCCAGGGGTCACCTGGTGTGTCCTTCCTGTTTTCCCATGTGTGTGCTGCAGCTGTGCCCTTAGTGGAGGGGACAGTGAACGAAGCCGCCCAGGGAGCAGAGAAGTGGGAAGTGCAGTGTTCCTGGTGGGTGGCCTCCTGCATGTGTAAGCTCACCGGGCGGCTGTGGGCTGGCCTGGCCCTGGCTGGTGGCTCCCTGCAGTGGAAGACGCCTGCTCCGTATAGAGGGGGTGTCACCTGCGTGAATCCAAGGCAACGTGGGGTCATGGGCCCGCCGTTTGCGGAGGCCATAGCAAAGCTTGCTGGGCTGGCTGCATCCTGGTCCCTGTCTGCTTTTCCTGCCTCAAGTGTCGTCACCCTCTTCAAGCCCTGGAGGGTCATACAGCGGCAGGGGATGCCCTGTGGGGTGTGTTAGAGGAGGCCTCGGGAGCCCCCTGCTCAGGCCCTTGCCCTCTCCTCAGGCCCTCGCCCTCTCCAGCTCCCGTCCCTCCCGCACTGTGCCCTAGGGCTGGCTCCTGCTCCAGGGGCGTCCTGGAGGTGGCCGGGGCTGGGCAGCGTCCCTGACTTCCACTCACTCCAGGCCAAGACGCCTCTAGTCTTGGTGGCCACAGACGTCCCCGCGGTCGGGCTCGCTCCCTGGGTGCCAGCCCTCGCTGCCGTGGTGGCATGTGGTGGCGTGTGGTGGCTGAGCCGTGCTGCTGCTCGCCACTCTAGGTGCCTGCTGCCATCAGGTGTTGGCGTGGCTCAGTGGGCCTGGGCTTTTGCCAGGTGACAGCAGTGTCCTGGGGGACGGTCAGTGGCTTTGGCGATTCTAGGAGCTGTTAGCCGACAGCAGTGCATGGCTCCCCATTGCGGCCTGGAGGGGACAATTGCTGGCCCTAGGGCTCTCAGCTGATGGGCGGGAACAGGTGGCTTAGTTCTTGCCCCCAGAGCCGAGGGACCTGGAAGCTGGCTTGGGGCCTGCTCATGTCCGCCTGGGAGAGGGCACTGTGGGCTGCGGGCGGCAGCAGCGCCAGCTCAGGCGCTCATTGCCCCAGCTCAGGCCCGCAGCTCCTCAGGCTGGCCCCGTGGCCTCGCGGGCCTCGCCTCACGGATGGGGCGGCAGGAGGCCGGGTGAGTCCCTGTCCCTGCGCCATTCAGGACCTTYTTCTCTGGCTGTCATCTCCCAGTGTCTGGCCTCCTGCTGGCCTGGGCCGCTCCTGAGGCTGTCATRCTGGCCGTGAGTCCAGGCATTCTGGTCCACATCTTGCGCTGTCCCCTGGTGGGTACCCTTGTCGGGTTGCGGGGCCTCCCTCTGCCYGTCCCTGGGTGTGAGGAGCAGTGCTGTACCTCCCCCACGGGTGTCGCAGGGGACAGCAGACGCAGCCCTGTACCCGGCTGGGAGCTCCTGTCCTGCCTGTCCCCTCCTCTAGGAATCACCACTGGTCCCAGTGGGTTGGGGACTTTTTCTCCCAGTGTCTCCTGCCCCCAGAACTAAGCTGGCCTCCTGGCAGGTGGTGGTGGGGAGACCAAGCAGCCCCTCAGTGGCGCTGCAGGTCCTGTGCTCAGCCTGGCTCTGGAGTGGCAAGTGGAAGGTCTCAAAATGCAGCCTCCATATGTGGAGGCACCGGGACACCCGCTGCTCAGCTGTCACCATGCAAGCCCCTGGTGGGTGGGCCTGGCGCTCTGGGGCACTCCTGGCTTCCCTTGTGCCAAGCTCAGCAGGAGCGCCAGGGCCCTGGTTCTGCAGGGGCCCCCATCAGTCAGCACCAAGGTCTGGGGTGGAGGAAGCACAGCGGCAGACTGGGCGCCAGTGACCACTCCTTGGCCTTGCAGATCATCCCCCCGAAGGAGTGGAAGCCCAGGCAGACCTACGATGACATCGATGACGTGGTGATCCCCGCCCCCATCCAGCAGGTGGTGACCGGGCAGTCGGGCCTCTTCACACAGTACAACATCCAGAAGAAGGCCATGACCGTGGGGGAGTACCGCCGCCTGGCCAACAGCGACAAGTGCGTGCAGGCGCCGGCCCAGGCTAGGTCCAGGCACACGCTCAGCCATACAGCCCAGCCCAGCCCAYGGCAAGGCTGCCAGGGGCGCCCGCCACAGTCGGGGCACACCTGATCCCCTGCCCTCAAGTGTCCATTGATGGCCCTTCTGAGAAGGTCCCAGACACCTCCCCATGTGCCAYGCCCCTGTCCCACGTGGGCGTGAGCTGCCTGCCCCAGGCACCCTGGGTTCTCTCACCTGCCCCTGCTGCTGGGCCACCCAGCTCTCTGCCCCGCCTCCTGTCCCCACGCCTCTGTTTCCAGCCTGGGTCCTGGGTCCTGGGTCTCGTAGGTGTCCTGTGAGGGCAGAGCCTTGTCCCTACTGCCCCAGCCTTAGAGACRGGAGCCACCTGAGCTCTGACCTCCAGCTCCAGCCACCCTGGGGTGTGTCCTGACTTAGGTTCCAGCCCAGGGCCTGAGGGGACGGGCGGCATGAGCCTCCGGACCCACCCTGAATGGTCACATTGTGTGCCCGCCAGGCATCTGGGCTCCCTGGGTCCCTCAGTGGCTGGGGCTGGGCGGTGTGGCCAGCCCCCGTCTCAGCCCCTGTGGGTGCTGTTTCCCAGGTACTGCACTCCKCGGCACCAGGACTTCGATGACCTGGAGCGCAAGTACTGGAAGAACCTTACCTTCGTCTCTCCCATCTACGGGGCGGACATCAGTGGCTCTTTGTACGATGACGTGAGTGCCGGGCCTGGAGACCCCTCTGGTCAGGGTGAGGGCCTCTGGGGCAGGAGCRGAGCTGGGTTGCCGGAAGGGGGCCGGGGAGCCCGGCCGCTGGTTGCCAGTCGTTCCCAGCGGGCCCTGGGGCCCCATGGAGCCAGCCCCTCTCGTCCCACAGCACAGCGAGGGCTCGTGGCCGAGTAGGGCCTGCCCTGCACTCTGGGACTCCACACTGGTTGCCCCATCTGCCCACCCACCTGGTGCCCTGGGTTCTCAGCCGTGAGGCCGCTTGCGATTCACTGTGAGCTGGTYCTTGCTTCTGGCCAGGAGGCCTGCCCCTGCCCTGTCTTCAACACAGGTGCCCCCTGCCAGGACTCCTCCTCCGCCCTGCACCTGACTTCTGCTCCTGGGTAGGGCCGGGGTGGGAGAAAAGCCTTGCAGAGAAGGCCCACGACCCCGCTGGCTGCCCTGGGCATGAGCATGTGCAGATGTCCCTCAGAGGGCCTTGAGCAGTTGGCCTCCCCAAGCCCTTGGCCAGTGCCATGCCTGAGCAGCCCACACTCCTGCCTGAGTGGCCCACAGCCCGCAGTCCTTGGGCTACGGGGCCGCCACCTGCAGCCCAGGTGTGTCTCTCCTGAGCACTGTGCCACAGGAAGAGGGGCCCAGGCTGGAGGTGAGCTTACCTGGAGACACCAAGAGAGACCCGTGGGAGATGCCCTCCCCCGGGGAACAGGGAGGGCCAGGAGAGCCGCGCAGCCTGACCCACCACCGCCTTCCGGGGCCTCGGTTTCCCCACTGATCACGCAGCACAGTGTGCCTGGCCCTTGAGCTCCTGTGCGCTCCCAGCCCGGAGCAGGCAGCAAGCTCGCAGARGCCACGCAGCAGGCTCCCGGCTCTCCGCCTGCGGGACCGCACGGCTCCCTGTGACACGTGCTGCAACCTTGGCACACACGTGAGGGGGAACCACAGAGCCGGTGACAGTGTACTGCATGGGAAGTCCAGAGACTGGGCTCCTTGTGCCACCACCCCTCCTCCAGGCTCAGCCCGTCCCTCGCCCCCTGCCCTACTCCTGGTGCCAAGCAGGGTCAGGGTGGCCTGTGTCAGCAGCTCCCTCCCAGCCAGTGACTGTGTTCCTGGAGCTTCCTGAGGACTGTGGTTCCTGGCGCTCGGTGGTGGTGGGGTGGGTAGCGGGGCATCTTTGTGCTGCCCTGCTTCTTCTCTGCAGGCCCAGTGAGAGTGTCCACCTCCCCAAGCCCCCATCTCCCGGCTCAGGTAGCCGCAGCCCTGGCAGCCCTCCTGGTCAGGGCGGGCCCCTCTCCCCCGGCTCCTCCCGGCCGCTGCTCAGGCAGGACAGTGGTGTCTTTCTGGGTCCGGGTGGCTGCCTTTGCCTCCCGATTCCTTCAGGCAACTGTGACAGGAGGCCTGGCTCCCTGGCTTGGGGCACAGAGCAGGAGCTCTTTCCAGGCCTTTCCAGGCTGGTCCAGTGTTGGGCAGCCCAGCAGTGCCCATTCTCTAAGTACCGGCCCTTCCCTTGGTGACTAGTTTTCACAGTGCCCAGATGCCCTCCCCACCTCAGGTTGGGGGTCAGTGCCTGGTGAGCCTCTCAGCTGTCGCTCCAGCCCAGCTCTGGTGGCCGAGGGTCAGCRCCAGCCAGCAGCCCCCATAGCTGCGCGACTCATCACACACCTAGTGGCCCTGAGGGGGGCGCGTCCCCCAGCCCCCCGCAGGTGGCGCTCTGGGGAGTGGGGCAGCAGGGGCAGAGCTGACCCTCCACGTACCCGGTCCTGCAAGAYACTGGCGGGCCTGCGGCACGCTGAGTGTGTCCTGATCCCCCRGCTGTCGCACAGCATTGCTGCAGGCTGGGGTAGGCTCAGTGGTGGGCCCTGCCCKGCAGGCCCGAGGCCAGGGCCTCCCCAGCCCTGGAGGACTGCAGGGAACACTCGTTGGCCTTGTCGTGCGCACACACCACCCGTTCAGGGCGGGGTCCAGTGGGTCGTAGAACATTCATGGGATCGGGAAACCCTCACTGCTGCCAAGCTCAGCGTGATTCCGCCACCCAGAAGAAAGCCTGTCCTCACGTGCAGAATCCCAGCCCCTGGCACCCAGAGGTCCATGTCCTGCCTGCACTCTCCTGTCCCGGATGCTCCTGTCACTGGGTCGTGCCCTGTGGCCCTGTGTGTCTGGTTCTCCTGCGCATGGGGTCCTCAGGTTTCTCCACGCTGTAGCTATGGCACGCGTGACACTCCAGGTGTGCATGGGACATGCTCTATGTGGCCATCTGTCCACCCAGGGGGTTGTTGGTTGACCCTGCTTCTCGGCAGTCGCCAGCTGCTGCTGTGAACATCTGGGTGCCTGTCTGCCTGGGAGTGCTTTATTGCTCTGGGGCCAATGGATGAGGGTGGCCCTGCTGGGCCGCGTGGTGACTCCCTGTTAACTTGCTAAGGAGCCGCCAGGCTGGGTCTGTTCTGTGGCAGCTGCAGCCTGTCGCATCCCACCGCAGGCCCGGGGCTCTGCTTGGAGGAGTGCCCAGTGCCTGCTGCTGCGTCTGCTCGCGTCTGGCCTCCCTGGGTGTGGAGTGGCCCGTGATCCAGGTGGCTCAGGGTCCCGAGCTCCTTTCTATGTGTGTTACTGGCCATTCTGTGTTTTCTTTGGAGAAAGACTTATTTTTTTCTCTTATTGCTTGTGCTTTGGTGTCTTTTCTAAGAAACTATTGCCAATTCCAGAGTCATGACCGCGTGCTCCTGTTTCTTCCAAGAGGGTCATGGTYTGGTGCTGTGTCTGTGACGTGTCTTGAGTTCTTTTCCTTTCGTGCATGTGGGGGTACAGGGTTTGACCCCAGGGGTGCTCYACCTCTGAGCCACACTCCAGCCCTTTTTATTTTTAACATTGAGGTGGGACCTTGCTAAATTGCCAGGCTGGCCCTAAACTTGCCATCCTCCTGCCTGGGCCTCCTGAGTCGCTGCGACGATGACAGGCATGGTTGAGGTCATTTTGTACAGTGTGATGCAGGGGTCCAGATGCTCTTTCCTGCATGTGGCGGCCCCGTTGTCCCTGCACAATTTGCTGAAAAGACCCTTCTTTCCCCTGGAATGGTGTTGGTGCCAGGTGAGATCCCACATTCTTATTTATTTTTATTTAAAAAATAAACTTAGGAAACTTAGAATAGTTTTCGTTTCACAGAAAAAGTCAGAAAGTACCAAGAGCTCCCACAGAGCCTGGCTCCGCCCCTGCCCGGCCTCGCCCAGGCTGCACACCCACCAGAGCGGGGCGTTCGTGACCACGGACAACACTGTGTTGGTGCACCCTGTCACCAAAATGTCACAGCCCCTTGAGGACTGGCTGTGGATGTTCTGGGCCCCGTGTGTTTGGGCAGATGTGGGTGACATCTCTGCCATGGCAGTGCCACACAGTGAGTGCACTGCCCCGGAGGCCTGTGCCCGTGTGTGCGCCCACTGCTGACCCTGTGGAGGCTGGCTCGTCCCGTGTCTCCTCCTGCCTTTCGCAGAACCTGTGGTCGGCGACAGTGGCTGCTTTCTAGGCTGTCTTCTTCTGAGGGGACGATGGCAGGGCTCCTCATCTTCTCCCTTCCCCCTGGTGCCCGGCACTGGGCCACTGTTGGGCTGGCTGCCGTCTTGACTACCCCTGGTGGAAGGACACATCGTTCCAGGGGTGGGCGGTCGGGCAGAGGCCTGGCGTCTCTCTGCGGGTGGCATGTGAACATGAGCAGCTCTTGCGGGGGACGCTGTGAGCGGCTGGCTCAGGCGGCATCACGGCTTAGCTGCTGCGGAGCTGCCCTCCTGTGCCTGGGCTGGCCGTGCCTTCAGCGTCCCAGTGGAGATGGTTCCTGCTGCTGCAAGTCCCCAGCCCCGGGCCGTGGGTGCCTGCATTGTGGCCACTCGGAGGGAGTGTGGGCGTCTCTTGCTGGTTGGGATCTGYGTTTCTGGTGCCAGCTAAGGGATTTCTTGGTTGCTGCTGGCCGTCTGTGGGCCTCCTTCCGCGACGTGTGGGTTGGGTCTTTGGTTGAGGTTGTTTGTGTCCTTCCTGTGGAGGTGTAGGGACCTTCCTGTGCTTGGGCGGCAGCAGCCTGGGTCAGGTGTCTTTGCAAACACTTCTTTCAGCCTGTGGCTGGTCTCCTCGTTCTCTTACGGATGCTCCATTATTGTTTTTAAATAAAAAATGAAAAGTGGAGCCTCGTCCGTCCCACGAACACCTCCACCTTCAGCCAGCCTGCCGCCCTGTCCCCAGGAGGGCYCACACCCACGCATCCATGTGCAGGCTGCAGCGCCCCGAGCCCGGGGTCGGGAGCTGCAGGACCAGGTGGGACGTCAGCCCCTTGCGCCTCCTCGTGGCCGCAGGGYAGCGCCTTGCTCCTCCAGGGATGTTCGTGCCTGGCTCAGGCCGGCCCCAGGAGTCTTCTGGCCGACAGCGTGGCCTGCCACATAGTGGAAGGGGTATGTGGTGCAGGGTCAAGGCTGCTTGGGGACCTGGTTCTCATGCCCTCACCCTGACCTGGGCAGCTCCTGCCTCTGAAGACCTTGGGTTCCCTACCCTCACCCCAAGAGGTCTGCTGCTGTCCMCTTGTTGTGTCCTGGGCCCCCGCCAGGGCTTGCTTTGCAAGTGTCTGATCTGCTGTGTCCCAGGGCCTGTGGTGCTGCGGTGGGTTGGTGAACCACGTTTCACGCGCTGTATGGCAAGGGGTCCATCTGCCTGTGGAACTGGGACCCGAGGGTCTGGCGGTCAGGGCTCCATCCGCGGTGAGGGCTCTGGACGCTGTCTCCGTCTCCTCTGTAGCCAGGGACTGGGAGGACCATTGCTGGGCGTGGGCCCGGGCCCCGGCCCTGGCCCTGGACTGGCCCGCTTGGAGGGCTCCTCCTCCCCTGTCACTGATCCAGAGGCACGTTGATCGTCCACCACCAGCTGCCGTCTTGCAACCCAGGTCGGCTCCCAGCGCCACATGCAGTCCGCTCTGTGGAGCAGTCCAGGCCGTGTGTGCCAGGCGCTGAGCTGGCAGGTGGCCTCAGTGGAGGGGCAGGTAGGGTGCCACCAGCCAGTGGGCCTTCAGCCCTGCCTGGACATGGACTAATGGCAGAGCTGGTCCAGGTCCTGTGCAGAGTCAGCTCACATTCTGGACCTGGACGTGATGAGATGTGGCCTTCCCGCTCTTCCCAGAGTCCTGGGGTAGCCGGGGCCACACAGGCACCTTGGGTCATGGCCATGCTGACTGTCCCTCTGCTGCCCCTGCAGGACGTGGCGCAGTGGAACATCGGGAGCCTCAGGACCATCCTGGACATGGTGGAGCGCGAGTGCGGCACCATCATTGAGGGCGTGAACACGCCCTACCTGTACTTCGGCATGTGGAAGACCACCTTCGCCTGGCACACGGAGGACATGGACCTGTACAGCATCAACTACCTGCACTTCGGGGAGCCCAAGTCCTGGTGAGTGGCGGCCACTGCAGCCTGGCCTCCCAGGGCGTCCGGCGGGGTCAGCTGGCCTGGGCTGCCTTCAGGGCTTAGGGGCTGTGCTGGTGAGGCGGCGAAGGTGGGTGCTGGGGGCCCCAAGTCGCCAGGGACAGTGTCAGGAGGGGAGAGTGGGGTCTCCAGGTCCTGAGCCTGTGGTGTGCAGGCCAGGGTGGGACTGACCAGTTATGGTGTCCCCGTGCCACACAGCAGCCTCCGCCTGGGGTCCCTGTCATGTAGTGGCGGTCCGTGTGGGCGTTGTCCTATGGACCATGGGCCTTGACCCTGAATGGCTCTGGCCTTGCTCTTGGCCTCCCGGCCCCAGGGTGGTCAGCAGTGGTCTGCGGCCTGCAGGGCTTCTCGCTGGTGTGCGGGGGCTGGGCAGGTGAGCTTGCAGCCGGAAGGCCACACCATGGAGACGGGGTGGCCGCATCTCAAGTGATGGCCCTGAGGGCTGTCCCAAACTGCCACCCCGTGTCCTCTCCAGCATGTGGCGAGTGATGCTGGGTGCGGCGCTCCCTTCTGCCAGCCTCTCTGGTGGCACCGCCGTGGGCCGACTTCGTCTCCGGCAGCCTCTGTTCCCCCTCGCTGTCCAGCAGTGCCTCTGACTGGGGAATCGAGCCTCCTGCCCCCACCCCCGCTGGTTTTCAGAGGGGTGGGAGGAGGCCACACGAGCTGGCCCAGCTGAGGGGCCTGAGGAGTCATGGTGCCCAGTGTCCGGGTGTCTTGGTGTGGTGTGCGTCTGCCAGGAAAGGGGACCCCGGCACCGGGGACTCCAGGGACGGAGCACAGGCGGGGCGGAGGCCTCTCTCCCTGCTGCCCACAGGCACTGGGCTCCACCCCACGGGCCCTCAAGCTGCGAAGGGCCTGGGACCTGGACCCCTGGGGTGTGCCCTCTCCCCGCTCCAGGGCCCATGTGGGCTGCACACACCAGACGAGCTTCGGAGCCATTAGGTGCTCCATTCCAGGGCGCCCCCTCGGCTCCCGAGCTCAGGGAAGCGTCTCGGCCTCCCACTTGCGGCTGCCCAGGCCAGGGTGCTGAGGGAGCCGGGTCGGGGTCCTCTATCTGCGGGGCCACGGCCGTGGAGGTCCCTCCATGYGAATGATGCTCTAATGCTGCTCCTTGGTGACACCGTGTGCTCAAGCAGAGTGACCCTGGTCCCTCACTGTTCCAGGTCACCCCAAGTCCCAGCCCCACGACCCCTGGGGTGGAGGAATGCACGGTTCTCCAGGCTCCAAACCACGCAGCACCCAGATGTTCTAGAGAGGAGCCTGAGCCCCTCCCCCCCCGTCTGGTTTCTCTAGACTCCGAGGACGACAGCATCCAGGGCTCGCGTCGCCCTYTGCCTTCCCTCACATCTGGGCCGGGCTCCTGCCTGGGGGTGGCCTGTGGCGAGCCGAGGCGCTGGCAGAGGTGTCCAGTGCTGTGTGGACGCTGGGCTGCAGGGCGAGGAGTCAGGCTGCCCTGTGTGCTTGTGGAGCCCCTGCCTCCCAGGGGGTCCTGTCGCCAGCCCTGTGCCTCCGCCTGGGGTCTTCTCAAGAGAGAAGCCTGGCCCAGGCCTGCTGAGTCCCCACAGGCCCCTGGTAACAGGGGGTGCTCACAGGACGGGCAGACTGGGGCTCGGGGACATGGGGACGTGGGAACTCTAGGTCAGGTGTCCACATTTCTAGAATCATTTGAAGGGGCGTCGACAGGTGGGTGACAGCTCTGTCTCCCCAGCAGCCCAGGGCCTGYGTTTGGGGAAATGAAGTGCCACATTCCAGGGTGTCCTGGGCCCTGCTCAGGTGGCGTTTYCTGGACGGTGGCCCTGTGCGGTCCTGGGTGGAAAGGGCCCAGCCAGCAGTCTCCGCAGCCCCTCCCACAGCCCTCCTCCCTGAGGACAAGCTGGGACCTGCCCCAGGCAGTGGCAGCAGGGTGGCTGCGGCTCTGGCCCGAGTCCCCCCACGTGGGTGAGGTGCCTGGCCACCATGGCTCAGTCTGCCAGCTGCCAGCAGACTGGGTGTCCCTGACAGGCCRGTGGCGTGTGGCTGTGCAGACGGTGGCCTGCTGGCTGCCTGCTGGCTCCTCACACCTCCAGCGGAGGCCGTGGTGTGAGTGGGTGTGCTGGGTCCTAGCCTGCGGGTGTGCACACACTCTGACCCTGGTACTGGCTGCTGTGGGATCTGAGGCTGAGGAAGGTCCAGGAGGCTGGCCCTACCCCTGAGGACCACTAGGTGGCGCTCCTGCCCTTCTGCTCTGGGCTGTGCCACCATGGAGTCCCCTTGGCTTCCACCTGCGCATCCTGCTGGGAGTGGCGCTGGGGGAGGGCAGAGACCGCCGGAGGGGCGGGGCGGGCGGCACGCTCACCCCCAGGTGACTTGTGGTCTCAGGGTCTGGCGGGGAGAGCACCCACCTTCTCCCCAGAGCACAGAGGAGGGGGCACGTCGCAGGTGCAGGGAGTAGGGGAGCCCTGGGGCCTGAGCTCCTTCAGGTGGCCGCAGGAGTCCCCAGGAGAGGACCTGTGCCTTCAGACCCCCTGCCCCCATGGGGATGGTGGGGCCCGTGAGGGTGGCCCTGAGGCGCTCCTTGCTGGCCAGTCGTGGAGGTGGGGGCCCTGCTGGTGGGCGGCGGTGGCTGAGGTTGGGGCGCTCGAGGTCAGAGCGACGTCCGCAGCAGGGACTCCGGTGTCGGGTGCAGGCTGTGTCCCGTGTGCAGAGTCCTCACTGCCCAGCGAGGGGGCGGTGCTCCTGAGAAGCCATGGCAGGTGGGCAGGGGGCCGGAGCCTGCGGCCTCTCTGTGGCCTGCTCTCTGTGCACGTGTCCCCGGGCCCCAGGAGGTCGCGCCCTCTGCCTGCCCGCTGCCCTCACCTGCCCTGGTTTGCTTGGGTGGCGCCTGGTGCTCAGCATGCTGGGTGCACTGCCCGCTGCCCACCTTCCTGTGGCCCTTGTCGGGAGGCCTCAGGCAGCAGCCAGCGGGCCAGCCTCAATCCCGCCAGTCCTCCTGGAGGGGGAGTGCCCGCAGGGGCCCCATGTGACCTCAGGGGCTTCCTGCGGGGGAGGGGTGCCCCCCCCCATGCTGCCCTGAGCTCCCCGTGCAAGGAAGGCACAGGCCAGGCTGGCGGCACCGCCTCCCCCCAGCAGGCCCTGGCCTTTAGGGCAGGGCCCTGGTGGCTCCTGAGCCTCTAGGATCCCTGTGTGCCGCGCCCTGAGGCCACCTTCCCTCTTGGGAGGTACCGCCTGGGCAGCTGTCCCTGGGCTGGGGCTTCAGGAGGCTGTGCAGGCCCCAGCAGTGTGACGCTTGCTGCCACTTGCCTCGCTAGCCCTGAGCCGGAGGGGCTCCTGGCAGGTGCCGCAGGTGGTGCCGCAGGTGAGGCTGCGGGCGGCCAAGCCTGGTGTCTGTCTCCTGATGACGCTGCTCTTCTTAGGTCTGTGGTAGCTTAATTGTGACTACTCGGGGTATTTTGGTGGCATCTTGGGGAGTGTTGACGTGCGCGGGGTGGCTAGTTTCATCAAGCCTCTCTGGGTCTGCTGCCACTTTGGTAGTGGGATCTGTGTGTTGGAGTGACGTGAGCAGCCTGGTGTCAATAAAAGCATAGAGGGGGGCTGGGAAGGGCAGCGTCATGAGCCGCTGCCCGCAGCCAGGCCGAGGATGTCGCAAGCAGTGGAGTACCTCCAAGTCCCTCCTGAGGCGGGGATGGAGAACACTTGGGGCACCTCGGCCTGCTGCCTGGCCCTGAGGGCAGGTGGGAATGGGCATGGGCACCGGGGACGCTGGGCAGCTTCCCCTGAGCCCCATGGGTCTTCTGTGAAGGGTGCTGGCCCGGGCAGCCCTGGCTCATGACTGCAGGTGTGGTAAGCCGGCGACAATGCCCTCCAGCAGGGGCCACTGTGGGTGCACTTGTCTAATGCCCAGGGCCACGGGYGGTGTGCCGCTAGGGCAGGTGAGGCGCACTGTGGCGGGCACTCGCATGAGGCCTCCGGGCGGCCAGCTCTCAGTACTGTGGCAGGACACCTTGGTCCCCTCATGGCGGGCAGAGCTTCATGGGCTCACAGTTTGGAGGTTTCAGTCCACGCAGTGGGATCCGCACATCCTGTAGKGACAGGTGAAGGCCACCCCCTCCCTGTGGCCTGGACGCCGAGGACGGTAGCCCCAGGGTCCCACGGCCTCTGGAGGGGCACACCCCCGCCAGGCCCCACTCCAGTTGGCTCTCCCAGCTCTCAGGCTGGAACTAGGCCTTTGGGGACACTCCAGATCCAAGCTACAGCAGCCCGTGTCCTTGCTGCATGTCCCTGGAGTGGGGGAGGGAGCCCCATTGGGGACAGGGGTACAGCAGGCCCTGGCCAGCCCTGTGAGCCTTAGTGCTGGGCAGTTCTGTGCACCCAGGAAGGTGCTGCCGGCTGCTGCCCTGCGCAGGGTGCCCCAGCACCTTCCTCAGTGTCGGAGGCCAGGGGCCCTCTTGAGCTGTGGGACTCGAGTAGGTTCCGGCTGCCCCGTGTGCCCACGTGCCGGGCCAGGGCTGGCAAAGCCTTGGGTGCCCATCTCCCCCGACCTATCAGGCAGGTTTGGGTGACAGCCTGAGGGTGCTGGGTGCTGGGTGGCAGGGGGGCTGTGGGCCCCAGGAGGCGCAGAGCCTGGGCCTCCCTCGCAGCCAGCAGCCGCCAGGTGCCGCCGTCCCCACTTCCACTCTCCAGGCTGAGGCCCCCGGCTCCTGCTCCAGCTGGGCGCCTTCCCTGCTGGGAGGGCTCCCATTCCCTGGCCTCTGTCGGGTGGGGCCTCCTGTCTCCTGCTAGACCCCGACAAGCAGAGGTGGCGCTCCCGCTGTCAGCAGGCGTGACCTGCCCGTGACCCTCWCCGCAGGCTCGCCTCCACCATGGCTCTGGTCCCTCTCCTGGCCCTCTGCTTCCGTCTGTCTCCCAGGCCCCGCGTGGGGTGCAGGCTGCGGTGCCTGGGAGGCCGGGAGCCCCGTCACCTGTGGACAGGAGCAGGCGCTCCGAGGCAG